AGGAGGAGGAGGAGGAGGAGGAGGAGGAGGAGGAGGAGGAGGAGGAGCAGGAGGAGGAGGGAGGAGGAGGAGGAGGAGGAGGAGGAGGAGGAGGAGGAGGAGGAGGAGGAGGAGAGAGGAGGAGAGAGGAGGAGGAGGGAGGAGGAGAGAGGAGGAGCAGCTCCTCGCTTCTTCCGGTGCCGATCCCGCTGCTCGCGCGGGGAGCTCCTCCTCTCCGCGGGCCCCGCTCCGGCACCGGCAGCCCGCCCGCCGGACCCTCCAGGGGCCCCCGAGCAGAGCGCCGGAGGACGGCGACGGGCCGCGCGGCGAGTCCGTGGGGGGGGGCCTCGGGGCGATAGCACGGCCTCCTCCTCCTCCTCCTCCTCCTCCTCCTCCTGCTCCTTTTTTCTCCCCTCCCCCTCCTCCTGCTCCTCCTCCTCCTCCTCCTCCCCTCCTCCTCCTCCTCCCCTCCTCCCCCCTCCCTCCCTCCTCCTCCTCCCCCTCTCCTCCTGCTCCTCCTCCTCCTCCTCCTCCTCCTCCTCCCCCGCCTCCTCCCCCTCCTGCTCCTCCTCCTCCCCCTCCTCCTTCTCCTCCTTCTCCTCCTCCTCCTCCTCCTCCTCTTCGTGGGCTGCTGGTCGGCGCGCGCCCGGGGGAGCAAGGGACGTGTCCCTTTACTTTACGGGAGGACATGTCCGACCTGATTCAGGAGGGGCAGAACCACACACAGACACAACCAGTCGTCGACTCCTGAGAACATGTGGGAGACTAGGGGAAGTGGGGGGGAAGACGAAGACCCAGAAAAGACAGGAACATACGGGGAATCCTGGCATTTGTGTCTATTCATTTGTGTGTTCGAGATGCTCGGAAGGCCTCCGGCCTTCGAGGAGTCTGCCGAGCCTTTCCCGGAGGTGCACAGAAAGCCTCCTCGGAAGGCGCGGCGGCTTCTGAGAAGCCCCGTCGCCCTTTTGAGAGTGCCTGCTCGGCTTCTGAGAGGCCCCGCCGCCTTCTCAGGCCTGCTCCTCCTCACGTCCCCCGACCCCCGACTTCCGCGCGCGAGGCCGCCATCCCGGTGGTGGAGCCAGGGCCGGGCAGGACCAGCGGGCGCCGCCGTGCTTCAGGAGGGAGGAGGAGGACCTCGGAAGGAGGGACTCCCTCCCTCCTTTTTTTTTTTTCCTCCTCCTCCTCCTCCTCCTCCTCCTCCACCTCCACCTCCTCACTCTCCATCTTCCTCCCTCGGTCCTCGTCCCTCCTCCCCCCTCGTCCCCCCACCTTCCTCCCTCCGCCCTAGTGCTCCTCCTTCTCCTCCTCTTCCTCCTCCTCCTCCCTGATCCTCCTCCTCCTCCTGCTCCCTTACCCTCGCGATGAATGATGATAGTGATGATGATGATGATGATGATGATGATGATGATGCTGATGATGATGATGATGATGACGATGATGATGATGCTGCTGCTGCTGATTATGATGATGATGGTGGTGGTGATGATAATGATACTGGTGATGATGATGATTATGGCGAGAATGATGATGCTGCTGATGATGACAAGGACGACGTAGACGATGATGATGAGGCTGCCGATGGTGACGATGATGATGATGATGATGATGATGATGATGATGATGATGATGATGATGATGATGATGATGCTGATGATGATGATGCTGATGAAGGTGATGCATGTGACGATAATGATGTTGCTGAAGATAAAGATGATGATGCTGCTGATGATGATGCTGATGTTGCTGATGATGACGATGTCAATGGTGATGGTGATGATGCTGATAATGTTGACGGTGATGATTATGACGATAATGATGACGACAATGATGATGCTGCTGATGTTGCTGATGATGAGTGCTGATGATGGTGGTGATGGTGATGTTGTTGGCGATGATGATGATGATGATGATGATGATGATGATGATGATGATGATGATGATGATGGTGGTGATGATGATGATGATGACGATGACGATGATGATGATGGTGATGATAATGATGATGGTGATGATGATAATGATGATAATTATGAGGATGATGATGCTGATGATGATGCTGATGCTGATGCTGATGCTGACAATGATGATACTGATGATGAGGATGAATATGAGGATCTGGATGAGGATGCCGCGGCTGCTGCTGCTGATGATGCTGATGCTGATGGTGGTGCCGCCGATGATGGTGAGGACGATGATGACGATGATGGTGGTGATTCTGATGAGCAATATGATGACGCTAATGATGTGTTTGGGCGACAAAAACGATGATTCTGATGATGGTATTGACGATGTTGCTAATGATGATGACGCTGCTGATGATGATGCTGATGTGACGATGCTCATGGTGCCGATGATGCTTATGATGATGATGCTGCTGCTGCTGATGATGATTATGATGATGCCGACGACGATGCTGATGCTGATGAGGATGATGATGATCATGCTGATGATGATGCTGATGATGATGACGATGATGATGCTGATGATGATGAGGATGATGCTACTTCGTAGGATGATGATGCTGATGATGACGATGTTGAGGACGACGACGACGTTGTCGACGATGAGACGATGATGATGCTGATGATGATGAGGATGAGGATGATGATAATGCTGATGATGATGATGAGGATGAAGATGCCGCGACTGCTGCTGCTGCAGATGATGATGACGCTGATGATGGTGATGCCGACGACGCTGCTGCTGATGATGATGATGATGATCATCATCATGCTGATGATGCTGAGGATGATGATGACGGTTATGATGATGGTGCTGCTGACGATGATGACGACCATGAGGAGGCTGATGATATTTTGTAGGATGATGATGCTGATGAGGATGACCATGACGAGGGCGATGACGACGACGTCGCCGATGATGACGACGATGATGATGATGATCATGACGCTGATGATGATAATGATGATACTGATGGTGATGATGATCATGCTGATGATGATGCTGATGATGATGACGATGATGCTGATGCTGATGCTGATGCTGATGATGATGCTGAGACTGATGATGCTTCGTAGGATGATGATGCTGCTGATGATGACGATGACGAGGACAATGACGACGTCGACGATGATGATTATGACGACGACGATGACGATGATGATGATGATGAGGATGATGATCATGACTCTGATGATGATGATGATGATGATGATGATGATGATGATGATGATGGTGAGGATGGGAATGAGGATGATCATGAAGATGCCGCGACTGCTGCTGCTGATGATGATGCTGATGACGGTGATGCCGATGATGGTGATGATGATGATGGTGGTGATGACGGTGAGGAATCTGCTGATGCTGATGATGATTCTTGGTGGTGCTGACGATGAAGATGATGATGATGGTGTAGATGAAGATGATGCTGATGCTGATGCTGATGATGATGATGGCAATGACGATGCTGTTGCTGCTGATCATGATGATGCTGCTAATAATAATGACGATGCTGATGAAGATCTGGATGACACTGCTGATGATGATGCTGATGCAGCTACTGATGATAACGATGTGGGTGATGCCGATGATGATGCTGACGATGAGGATGATGATGCTGATGATGATGATGATGATGATGATCATGATGATGATGCTGACGCTGATGATCACGATGATGATGATGATGTTGACGATGATGCTGACGATACTTCGTAGGATGATAATGCTGCTGATGATGATGACGATGACGAGGACGATGACGACGACGTCGACGCCGGTGATGAGGATGATGATAATTCGTTTTGTCGATTGTGATGATGATGCTGATAATGATTTGGGTGGTTGTGATGGTGGTGGTGACGATCAAGATGATGAGATGATGATGCTGATGATGATGCTGATGCTGATGCTGACGATTAGGATGATGCCGACGACGATGCTCATGATGATGCTGATGATAAGTGATGATGCAGCTAATGATGATGCTGATAATGACGTTTCATGATGACGCTTCTGATGCTTATTATCATGCTCATGATGTTGGTGCGGATTTTGATGATGATGCTGCTGATGATGATGATAATGACGATGACGATGCTGATAATGATTATGATGATGATGGTGGTGGTGGTGGTGGCTTTAATGATGAGGATGATGTGAGTGATGATGACGTTACTGGTGCCGATGATGATGATTATGATTGAGGCTGTGGTTATGATGATTATGCTGGTCGTGGTTGTGGTGGTGATGGTGATGGTGATGGTAGTGGTGATCATGAGATAATGGAATGACGACAGTGGTGATGGTGATGCTGATGAGGATGATGATGATGATGACGACAATGACGATGCTGCTGCTGATGATGCTGATGCTGATGATGAGCATGATGGGGCTGCTGCTGAGGATGCGGCAATTGTTGCTGCTGTTGCCGTTGCTGCTTCTGCTGCGGCTGCTGCTGTTGTTCTAGTTGTTGCTTTCCCCGTGGTTGCTGTTGTTGTTGTTGTTGTTGTTGTTGTTGTTGTTGTTGTTGTTGTTAGTCTTGTTGTTGTTGTTGTCGCTGTCGTTGTTGTTGTCGTGGTGGTGGTGGTGGTGGTGGTGATGGTTGTTGTTGTTGTTGTTGTTTTTGATAAAACCGGCTGCCGGGCCCCGGGGGGGCGAACAACGAACAACAGAACAACGGGGCGCGACAACGGCCAATCGGGTCTGTATGGCATTCCATGGGAACCCCATGCGGTTCCGTACGGATTCTATCGGGGTCCCATGAGATTCTGTAGGGATTCTATATGGCCCCATGAGGGTAGGGATTCCACACGGATCCCATGATGGTCTGAAGGGATTCCATGGGGATCCAATAAGGTCTGTAGGGATTTAACCGGGATCCCGTGAGGGTCTGTAGGGATTACATGAGGATCCCATGAGGGTCTGTAGGGATTCCGTAGGGATCCCATGTGGGTCTGTAGGGATTCAATTGGGATTTCAAGAGGGTATGTTTGGGATTCCATGAGGATCCCATGAGGGTCTGTATGGATCCCCGAGGGATCCCATGAGGGGTCGTAGGAATTCCACAGGGATCCCATGACACGTTTTAGGGATTCCATCCCATGAGGGGTCTGTAGGGCTCCCACAGCGATCCCATGGGATTCCATTGGGATCCCATGAGGGGTTGAAGGGATTCCATCGGTGTCCCATGAGGGTCTGTCGTGATTCCACAGGGGTCCCATGAGGTTCTGTAGGACTTCCACAAGGATCCCATGAGGGTCTGTCGTGGTTCACAGGGATCCACTAAGGATCTGTAGGACTTGCACAAGGCTCCCGTGAGGGTCTTTCGGGATTCCATCGGGATCCCATGCGGGTCTGTAGGGATTCCATAGGGATCCCATGACGGTCTGTACGGATTCCAAAGGGATCCCATGAGGATCAGTAGGGATTCAATCTGCATCCCATGAAGGTCTGTAGGGATTCCGGAGGCATCCCATGAGGGGTTGCAGGGGTTCCATCGGGACCCCATCAGGGTCCGCAGGGATTCCACAGGGATCCCATGAGGGTTTGTATGGATCCTACAGGGATCCCATGAGGGTCTTTATGGATTCCATAGGGATCCCAGGAGAGGCCTGTATGGATTCCATAGGCATGCCATGAGGGATTGTGGGGATTCCACCGGGATCCCGTGAGGGTCTCTGTAGGGATTCCATAGGGATCCCATGAGGGTCTGTAGGGATTCCATAGGCATCCCATGAGGGTCTGTAGGAATTCCACAGGGATCCCATAAGGGTGTGGGAATTCCATCGGGATCCCATGAGGGTCTGCAGGGGTTCCACAGGGACCCATTCAGTTCTGTAGGGATGCCATAGGGATCCCATGAGGGTCAGTAGGGATTCCATGAGGATCCCATGAGGGTCTGTAGGGATTCCACCAGGATCCCATGAGGTCTGTAGGGATCCACTTGGCATCCCATGAGGGTCTGTAGGGATTCCACAGGGATCCCATGCGGGTCTGTAGGGATCCCATAGGGATCCCATGACGGGTCTGCAGGGATTTCACAAGGATTCAATGAGGGTCTGTAGGGATTACATAGGGATCCCATGACGGTCTGTAGGGATTCCACCGGGATTCCATGAGGGTCTGTAGGG